CAATAATGAGATTATTGCAGAAATCGCTAAACTTGTCAGCAATAGAAGGATTAGCAAACCTTTCAGCGTGCAGATAGTTCTGTCGGAAGATACAATACCAAAGAAAGCTATTTTACATGTGGCTGTTTATCGCACTTGCAGGATGTGTTCACATGTTGAGAATATCAGGCAATGGACATATATATTCGGCAAGTAAAAGATAAAATCCACTGTCTGAATATTTAATTATGTATCCACAACCAAAACCCTAGCCTCACCCGGCATGGTCGATACAGATATGCAGATGTGTAAATCAAATAAGCTGAAATTAATCATAAATTATATATTTCTTCTCGCAGCGTAAAGAACATAATGTCTAATAGACATTGTCTATAATAATAAATTAAACACCAACTTCACTTTAGACGTGAGAATAAAGTAAATAATGTGAATTTAAATAATACATGTCCTTTATCCGTATTTACTTCAGTATGCACAGGTAGTAAACCAAGATAAATACATAATTTAATAGATGTGTATCGAAGCTCGACCATACGATGGAATTATTTTTGCGTGTCACCTCAATTGCATTAATCTCTGTCCAGGTTCGGTGATATGGTCGTTATACAGTGTATCAAACAATTGAGTACACGGTAGAACGCCTCTTCATTAAGCATTGAATAAGTTATTTGTTTTTGCAAGTTTGAAAGTGAAATACGCATCTGTAACTTAGAATATAATGCGGAATCTGAATTTCGTATCAAATTTCATGCGAACCAATTATTTCAGCCTGCACTGTGAGATATGTCCGGGAAAAATGAAATCCCGCATCAAAAAATTGAGTACACGTTGCAACTTTAGTTTAGATATTTTCATTTTCTTGTCCACCAGTCTTTGGTAAGTGATTAATTATAATTAATTACAGTCTATAGTTGCAAATAACAAATTTCATTAAGTCTTTCAATAATGTAGATGACAGGTCTTAGAGAAAATGCGAGACATGAGCTTTGTTATGAAGAAAGAAAAAAACATTATTTTTCTTGACAATGACACACATTTGTGTGACAAAATTAGTGAAAAAACAAATCATCAGAAGTAGACACTTGCCAAAATTATCACCAAATAGAAATCCAGTGGCTTCGTGGCGGATAGGACTGCAAGATATCAAAAAAAAAGAAAAAATAGCGCTCGTAAGGACTGAAGAATCATCAAAATAGAGATGTCAAGCAAAGAGATATCTGGGCCAAAAAGCTCTGCTGAAGTTACCCACGAGTTAGGCCTTTCCACTAGTCCACAAACTGTGAGGACCAGACTGCATGTATTTTTTTTAATACCCAAGTTGCACGGATGACACCATTCATTGAAAAGCGTAATCAACGCCGACGCCTGGAATGGGCTAGGGACCACAGCGCCTGGACAAATAACGATTGGAAATATATCCACTGGACCGACTAAATCAAGTTGAAGTTTTTTAGTGCAGGATGAGTTGGTTGTATGTGGAGAAAGAGTTAGGAGGCACTAAAACCGGAATGCATCCATTAGACAGTAAAAAACGGAGGTGGTTCCGTAATGGTTAGGGGTCCATATTGTGGAAATCTGTTGTCAAATTACACTTTATCGGCCAAATTATGATTAAGGAGTTCTATCTGGACATTTTAAAGAAAAATTTGATCCCATCACTTCCAAACCTGAGAATTCGGGGCGATCATTTATTTTCAACAAAACTCGGACTCTAAACATCTGCGAAGATTGTGACCAGGGGGTTCAAAGATAAAAAGGTTAAAATACTTCGCTGGGCAGCCCAATCACGGGACTTAATTCCCACTGAACAGATGTGGTCAGAACTCGAACACAAAATTGCCAACAGGTCTCCATCTAGCAAGGATAACTTGAAGCCCATTATTGCGGGTGCATGGTAGAATACAGACCCAGATTTTACAAAAGAACGGTTGGAATCCATGCCCAGACGAATTCAAACTGTTATTGAAGGTAAATTTGGTTTAAGCCGCTATTAGGTTAAGCTTGTTAATCATAAAAATGCATCATTATTATACCGTGTACTCATTTTTTTTACTTCAAATTTACAGATTTTTGGGTTCTTAATTTATTTCTGGACAAACAGACTGATAATTGAAAAATGCTTTCCACCATTGGATTCAGTATTAAATTTACCATTATATTGTCAACCTTACATATTTTAGTAATTGCTATGCAATAAGTTGTCAACAGTTGAATGAAGAACCGTGCTACCGTGGACTCAATTGTTTGATACACTGTACATATGTTGAATAAACTCTGTCTCCCGTGAATGTGTCCAAATACGCAAATGAGCTGACCAGCGCTAATAATTCCACTTTATGTGGAATATGTACAAAGAAAATCAATTACTCAATAATTTTAATGAAACTTTATTTAAAATAATAGAATATGTTAGTATTTATGTAGAACCGAAATCCATTATTAAAGTACACATTTATTACCAAAATTATATTACGATAAAATAAAATAAATATACATTTATTAAACTTTGCTTTGTGATACAATGTATCAAATACTACTTTCCCCCATCATCCATCAAAATCGGAGATACATAGGCTAGCAATGTTCATTAAAAAATTAAGTATTCATGTGGTCCATACGCTTACATCATGCCCAGCTTAAAATTATTGGTAATCTAAGGAAGACTAGTCCAATTTTTCTCGTAGCATCGGCATTGCTTTAAATGCACTATTATGGACCATGGGCTAGTTTTCATGATGTTCATGACGGATCTTTTTATTGCGAGCTACGTATGTATGAAGTTAAATCAAAAATCAGTAAAAATGGGGAATCAGATTGGACTTATCTTCCTATGAATATATTGGGGATATAAGTTCATAAGCATTTGCGCGTTGTGCTTAGCTACAGAGGGAAAGGTAGCAGGGGAAATTTTAATTAAAAAATTTATTACAATGCATCTCGCCTGCGTCCTCATTCCACTCACGTTAGCTTTACTATTCGGAACATTCACAAAATCTATATATTTCTTCGTGGGATTTCTCTCGAAAATTTTCGTCTGTCTTTAGCTTTTATGTAAGGGCATCAAATTTCACAACAGTTCCAAAATAGAATTTAAAAAAACACTAACGGTATACACAAATCAACGTAGAAAAACAAAAGTGGCAAGAAAGTCTTAAATCTAATATTGGAAGAATACAACTATACATACTAAGAATCGTTACGACATAAAATTAAAATAATACTGTCATTTTGTGGTAATTGTCACGTAAAGACCTTATATCTCACTTCAGCCACTTCTTTTAAAGTACATGATTTACTCTAATTAATTGATTTGCTTTATGAAGTATACCAATCATTCCTATCTAGATCATTTCCACACAAGTAGCAGAGAAGCTGTTTGCCGAATGCAGAATTCCTGAAGGACTAAAGGGGTCAACTGTTCCACAAAATTATTTCCAAATTGTACTTTTAGAGGTGCCAAGGACCTGCAGATTCTCCTCTCAAGGGCCGACTTATTGTTTCCCTTAAATCTCTTAATCCATTCAGCGCTAATCCGAATAACATTTCCAGCCACAGAAAACGTTACTAGGATCAAGGTTACTAGCGCCAAGTAGGGAGACACGAATATCACCATCCTAAAAATATTGGCATCAGGACTTTGCCAAATTTTTATGGCAATGAAACACAAAGAAAATTGAAGAAAAGGCACGTAATAGCCAAACGTTGCAAATATCCTGTCACGAATGACAGAGTTGACTATTTTTTCTAGAACCTGCAATTTTTTGTAGTCAGAAATTTCGCCCTTACGAGATTTCAGGTCGCATAACAGAAACGAAATGCTCGGAACAAGAACAACTATGCCGTGATACCCTGAACCAGTGGCGGCGATGGCCATGTTAATGAATTCGGTGAAAATTAGCATGCATCTTGTCGCAAAATTGCAATGCCCATTTTGGCAGAAGATGGCGCTTAGAAGGGGTGGTTTGCACGGCTGCAGAATGGCGAGAATGGCCATGCAGATGGGTAGACACACGTACTGCAGTTTCGCCACGTCAAGGCAGAAGAGAGCACATTTCCAGATGAACTTCCCTTCTTTTAGGGTCACGTAGTTTGCACCTAGAAAAATTTTATATTAAAGTATTAATTCTAACTTAGATAAATTGATGTTATTTAACCAACAGATAAAATTCAAGAGTGGAATTTGATCCGAATCCGGGTAGAATTCCGCCCTGGTCAACCACCCGCCTACAAATAGCGATGTTATTCCAATCCCCTCCACAGTTTCGAGATAATTTGTAGCTTTCATTTTTGTGCAGCACAATTGGAAAAGGATGAAAAGCAATTGCATGATTAATATACATCTGACTCGACTGTGTTGTCGTATAGGACGAATGACCAGTTTAGCCTTATTTTCATCCCAGATTGGAAAAGCGGAGAAAAATAGATTAGTATATCTGGTATGGTGTTTGACCTTCGCGACTAATGGGGATGATTGAGTGGACATTTTTGGTGTGGCACTCATCTTTTAAGAATGAATTATGCTTCTTGAATGTCACGAACGAAACGACCTATTTCTCTAAGTTTTCGGAAGATTTGTTATAGGTTGGGTTCCAGGAAAAATATTTTAGTTCGAGTTTCTTTACTGATATCACTTTTCCCATTGATACTCGTTTAAAATAACATGACAGCCTATTTTACTTAATTATTTAGTTCGAGATGAATCGGATGTGCCTATTTACTTAGAATGTCGTGTAAGATAAATTATCTGTTGGCGAAGGATATCTAAATTGAATATTTAATTATCCACAACCAAAACCTAAAGTCAAAACGATCGATTGACACAGATATGCACATACATCTAGACGTCAAATAAACTAAATTTATCACTTTCCGTCTACATTTCTCCTGGCGGAGTAAAATACAAAAACATGTTTATGCATGTCAGTGCTGGCATAAATAAATGAATTTACGTATATTGAGCATATATATATATACTTATGTACTTATATTTATGCACACAGTGAAACGAATAAACTCAAATTTAATAATATAGTTGAATCAGGCAGGTATTGATTGTTATGTTAAAGTTGAAACAGCTTAGTATTAAAATTGCCTAAAAATTTGCTACTTACATACATACATTCTTATTAAATTTTGCTTTGCCAATTACATTACCAATCGTTGCAAAATATAATTTACCAAAACCTGAAAAGTTACCAATTTTCATTAAAAAATTGGGTAATCTCCACCCTTAAATCTTCTTTATCGGCATCCGACCAATTCCACCCATGCCCACCTTGATATACCTTAAATTTATTCGTAACTCCGAATGAGCCCAGTTTTTCTCTTAACAGCGGCATCTGTGTTGAGGGCACTTGAAGGTCAAAGTCGCCATAGAATCCAATGGTTTTTGCGGATCGCTCATTTACATAAACTAGTGGACTTGTCGCGTTATAAAGGTCGGGACATTCAGCATACAAACATGGACCGACTAGATTATAGAATAATCCGTTATACAAGGGATTCCCAACGTACGAAGGATCCGTCAGGTCGGGTGGACCAACGTGGGAAACGATAATCTTAACGTCGGTAACGTTCCTCGAGTAAGAATATAACATTGAGAGATGGGCTCCCGCACTGGTTCCGAACAAGGCGAACGTAACATTGTTCGTGAAAGTGCCACGGAGATAGGTCAAGGCCAAGTCCAGGTCGTCCACTTGTTTAGGGAATCCTGGACTTTCATGAGTTCCTGCAATTACTTAGAGTTGAAATTGATTTTTGCTCGGATTAGAAATATGGGAACTTGCGTAAATTGGCTAATTATTTTCTGATTTGCATATATTTTTCCGTTGGATTATGTATGCAACCCACTTCAGTGTACTAATTTCTCGGTATTAGAGTATTAGTTACGGCTTGGTATTAAAATCATTACCGTCAGTAACAATTTCCTATCGATACGGTAAAACCTGAATACGGAGGTACATACATACATATGTACATATGTATGTATTACTAGACAGCGTTTGTTTGGAAAATTAATATATGGATAATGGATACCGCTTGGTATCATTTTAATGCTGTATTTCTAACAGTGTATTTATATGTAACAGCCTCCTTGAAATTTCACAAACCTAATTGATAATCCATATTGGCGATACAATAGTCAGGAAAATCTCTTTCGAGAAACGGGACAAATTCCAGCATGTCTGCTTTTTCTCCGGAAAACCAAGCCCCACCGTGCACTAGTACGACCACTTTGGAGACCACGCTATTTTCAGAGGAAGGCAGGTAAATGTCCATGATTTGTTCGGGATGTGACCCATATGGGACGTCTGGGATTAAAATGTGTTCCCCTATAATTAACGACAAATCCAGAAATATTTATTACCTGAATAAGTTTAATTTCATAAGCTAATAATAAATACTAAATAATTGATACATAAAAAACGACAAATATTTTTTTACCATGAGCGTGAAGAATGAACCCAACCAGAAAATATAATTTAATGCTGATCATTTTTAATGACTCGGATTATTGAAAGTTTATTCTGTTTATTTAAATTGAAGTTCAATTTTTACGTCCAGGTGTCTGGAGCAATTGATGAATTGAAGTGCATATGTAGAAAGGTTTGGATGAGATGAATATAAAATGTGCCATTTGCGTCATAAATACTTATCTTATCATTCCTTATCTACCGACACACAATTTCAAGTTACTTTATTGTTTGAATATTCACTCGTTTGACAGGAATCACAAGGTGACTTAAGTTTGCTAGAGCAAAAGATGCGAAACGATAATTAACCAATTTCTTGTTTGTGGAATGCATGCTCATCAGACAGTTCTTTGATTATATTCACTCAGTTTGATGCTATTTTAATTCCGCATGTCTAAAAGTACATAAAAAAGCTGGCTGATCCCCCTTAACATCAGAGGCCACGTAACGAATTTTCATTTCTAAATATGTATGCAAATATGCATAACCGCATAATGTGCTGAAATTAAATATGCAAATTTTAAGCATCTCCCCCTTCATAAGATTTGATTTATCATATGTTGTAATCAATCAAATCAAACATTGTATCATATTCCACTTTCTCTGCATTAATTTATTTTCCCAATTTCTTAAATGTGACCCAGTTCGTTTCCTGGACGAAAGTGAATCCCAACTTCTTCAGTAACTGTCGTGACGTGTCGTTCGTCACGGTGCATTCCGCCATCGGCGTGCAGCCCATCTCCGCCGCGGAATGCGACAAAGTTTGCAGGACCTTGGCAGCTAAACCCCTCCGTCGAAAGGGCTCCTCCGTCCACACATTGTTCATCAAACCGGCTGGAGAAAGCATGGCGAAAGCGGCCAAGTCGTCGTTAATGAAGGCCCCTGCTGTGGCGAGATTGCTGATTGATAGCTCCATCTGCAAAATAATTATGCACAATTTAGACATCAAAAGTACCGTTTTAGTAATATGTATTGTCATTACAAAGGAATTTTGTTAAGGTGTGAATGTTAGTTTTACGGTAAAAAAATAGTGCGATAAAAAACTGACTTGTTGTTTCATCTTAGAATGCATCCAAACTCTCGTCAGCTCTGTGGCCATGACTTGATTTACATTTTTCAAAGTCAAATCTGCAAGCCGAATGCGATCCCCTTTTTCATGATATTCGTACTCTGGAAGTAAATTAAGACACGTGACAAAATTTTAGTCGAATTCAACTACCTCTTTTTATGTACTTGTAAAGGAAATACATTTTCTGAATAAAAACATGCCAATTGCTAGGTAAATTTGCGAATAAGACGGGTAGTTTTCCATAATTTTTTGTGAAATTGTTCAAATTTCCAGTTGACGTGAGTGCACCAATTATTATTTATGTAACTGTTGTTATGTATTAGCCACAATTTACTAAATAATTTTTATGTATCTCACCCCGTTGACCTGTCATCGCCCTGTCCCCATCGAGAGCATAAGCTTCGCATGCATGCTCTTTGGGAGGTATGCCACCCCTTTTAAGACAAATTGGTTTTAAAAACGCGTCCGTAAATGGTCCCGGTGCAGCCGGAAAGAGTGGATTTCTGTCCCATTCCACGAAATCCTCGAAAGCTTTAATCATCTCGTGCGTTGGAGAAACTGGAGCGTGAATAATTACGGAATAAAGTCCGTGCATCTAGAATTATGAGCCATTGAAATTATTAATTTCATCTGAATTTATGTAATAGTAAATATTTGCATACATTTGGCTCTTGCACACAAAGCACGAAAATATCTTGGACACATCCTAATTCTTTCGTTACCAAGTAAATGTAAAATTTTACAGAATTTTCCACCGTAAACTTTCCTTGTCGCCTTAACCGCCAAACGTTTAGTAGCTGAAATAGGGCAAAAATTTGAATTAATTCATGATTAATTAAAATCGAATTTGTGCGTTTTAAAATTAATGCAGCGTAGCTCACCTGTCCAGTTAAAGGTAGCTTGTTCTTTAAAACGTCCTCGAACAAGGTTTCATTCTCAGCAGTTATTTCCACAAATTTCCCAGTGCCCATTTTTCGAATATCTTGTAGGAAAAATTTTTAGATTGGAATTTTTAAAAAATATTAAAATTCCTAGCACAAATTCTACTTGGATACTTCTTATGCTACAATTAAGAAATCGCAGTTGCGAATATTTTCTCTTACGGGAATGATTTATTTATATATGCACGAATTTAACTTCATAACCTCAAACGTATGTATGAACACTCTTAGAAATGAAGTATTAAAATAATACAAAGTTGCATTCATACAGTCAATGGAACAAGTATTGGCAACACCCACACAAGCTAAATAAAATTGGCTATAACTTTGGCATGCATTATCAAATTAGCATGCAAATTTGTACGCATTTAGCAAATCTAATGTAGTTTTCGATTATAATCATGTTTTACTGATTAAAATTAGATTAACGCAGTTTTTAAATAATTTGCTGGAAAATTTGTGAAATTAACCCACAAAAAGTATTGGCACCCTCTAACTTAAAAAATCATAGAGCAACGAAACGCCAATTTTACTGCGACAAAGTGCTTCTAGTATTACGTGGCACCTCCCCTCGACACAATAAGAGCAGAACTAGGCTGTGGAATTTATTCGACAAGTTCCTATATAACGTTTTTTTTAAATGGCTGCCCACACTTCTTTTAAACTTTTGACAAGCTCGTTTTTCGCTAGTGGTTTCCCATCGGTCTCTCTTTTCTCAACCCGGACAATCAGAATCACATCAGGAGACTGTGCAGCCAACGAAAGAATCTTAACCTTTTCGGTCTCCGAAAACTTGCATCGTTAATTTGGCTACATGTTTGGGGTCACTGTATTTTTGGAATATGAAATTTTTTCCTAGGTCAGGTTTTTGTTAAATGATTTCAAATTATCGTTTGGAATGATTGACAACACCTTCCTGGTCATAATTTTATCGATAATGACCAGGTAAACACGCCGCCTCCTAGTCATTTAACCCCAAACCATAATCGATCCACCTATGTGTTAAACTGCCATACGAACGTTTTATTCGCATATTAAACGCAAGTGTTCTTAGGGGAGTCGGCAATTAGCCTTAAATGCGCTACCGCCGCTGGCCTGGCTGTCTCTATTAATGAGTAGTCTGGTCACCCCACATAGTACATACAATAGTACATACATACAACGTGGTATGGCCCTTGACAAACCAACACCACCTTTGGCCACTATTTATGCCAAAAACAAGTACTGGAATGGACATACTCCTATGATTCATATAAATGCAAGTAAACGCTATGAATGAAATACATGTACATATTTATATAAACTCTAAATATATTATAACGTGGAATCGATCTCGCAAATCGGACAGGTACATAATAATAATGCATGCATAATAATGCATAATAATGTCTCATTTTAGAATTTTATTTATTTGCAAATAAGAATGCATTTTATTTTTATGCATTGTTTGACTAAGTATTACATAGTTTTAATTTTACACAAATTGTCCTCAAACTTATCGTGTAATTATGTAAGTAACGCGACGACCACACCATGCTTGCAGATTTTGAATTTTAAACTTACCATTTAAAGCTAGCAAAGACGTGGGCGAGGAAAGTAAACAGCTAAGAAGAGGCAAATTCTGCCGTTTTTTGTTGATATTACACTTCATTTGAGTAAATTATTCCAAGCAATTATCCATAGTGCTACTGCTCACCGCAAGTGCATATGTACATATCTACACAGGTTTATACACGTGTTCCTGAATAATTAATCCCCTTTTTAAATGTTCATTAATTTCCGTCACAATTTATTTCTCTGTATCCATTTTGCTCACAAAATATTTAGATACTGTAGATGTATATATTTAGCTTCCTCTGAATTGTATTATTATGTATCTAAATATGTGTCCATACACAAAAAATCTATTTCTCGCCTTAAACTATCTATACATGCACTTAGAAATCGTGTACTAAAAATTTATACCGATCGGGATTCATACGTACAGACAATACACATACTGCTCAACCAAAGTGGGTATTAGAGTTTTACCATATCGGCCTGAAATTACATTTTTACGGATCGGTATAATTTTAATGCTTGAAGCGATTGCATCTTTAATACCAAGAAATCCATGTCTGCCCGACTATGTGTACCAGTGCAACTGCATAAATTAAATTCATAATTGCAACGAACCCTACATATCATGTGCCATCTTTCTCTAAGAATTTCACAATTTCTCGGTTACTTTCCTCGGATCACGATAATTTCACTCGGAGTAAAAGTACATGGAAACGATTCTTCTACTTTCTCCCCACTTTTCTCCACTTTTTCCTAATTTCCGGAAATATCCTTCTGTTTGTTATTTATACAAAAATACTGCACCCTCAAACCGATTGGATGACCATGTTGGGCCGAAAATCCGAAGCTAACATGCTCTACTCCATTTTTGTCTTTATGTTGAAAGCCTTGTGTCATATTTTCGCTACGTCGTACATAAAACTGGCAATATTTTTGAGGAGAGAGGATCTTATCAAATTTTGGGTAGATTTTCAGGAAATAATCAAGCTCTCTGATCAGTTGGGTATCTACCCTCCCGAAAAATCTATTGGAAAGCTTGGAAAGGATTTTATCGCTGGGATCGTTCTTTGCATCCTGTTTATTGCGGATATGTGGGAGGGCTATTTACTAAACCCGAACAGAGGTGATGGAGCTGCTGGTAAGTGCAAAATGACATGCAAAAAATATGCATGTTTTGCTAAAAATTTGATTAAATTTGCCAAGCTTAAAATACTTAAGTACAGATGCGATTTCCAAAAAAAATCGTTTCACAAATTTCTGTAAAAATAACTATCGCAACGACCCTGATTTACATGAATTTCCGTAATTTCAATCTCTTATCATAGACAGAATGATGTTACGAAATATATAAATAATAGTTTTACGAAATGGATACCTACCAATAATCAAATTTGCAAAAATAGTCGTCTCTTTAGTACTTTGCTTACGTTCTTATATTCAATTTGCGAGATGTTTATGTATGTGAATCTTTTTGGTAAGTCAAGTCACGACGATTTGTGAGCACGCACAATGGATTAAAAATTGAGCTAATTTAACCCTTTTAAATTCGCAAATTTAACTCTCTCACCCTCTCTCACTTATTTTTAGAATCTGTCACATCCGTCTTCGTAATCGTCTTCCCATCAACATTGGGCTACCTCCAGGCAATCTTCCCCTTCATGATGACGCATTTCTTATCCTTCTACTTAGAAATTTTGAACCGTTTAAAGCACACCGTGATTCCAGCCTCGGTCGTTCTAAAAGTGCAGATTTATACCCAACTTAGACGCCACGTGGCTTCGTGCATGCATCTTTTCGGCAGCTACATCGTCATCGATATGGCGCACAGTATTGGGCGAATAATCATGTGTTCCTACTTCTTGGCGGTGTACACTAAGCGGAGGTCGCCCGATGTTCGGGGGGCCGTTTCGGATGCCGCGACCGTCCTGGCGTATTCCTACTTGATTTGGATGATTTGTAAGAAGGGGTCCCAACTGGGAAATGGGAGCGAAGAAGTCATCGAAAAATTGGAGGGGGAAGAAAACTTGCAAATTTTGGATGGAAAAAATAGCATCCTAACAGGTCGCAGGTTCAAGCAGATTTTTTTAAAGACGGATTACTTCAAAGTTGATCTGGGTCTGATTGCTCCGGTAATTAATTCATTTAGGGAATTTTTAATAAAGCGCATATTTAAGTTCTAAACGTCTTTATTTTCAGATTGTGGGAACAGTAACTACCAATTTGATTGTGATGATTCAGTTTAAAAAATGAAATGAATGAGTGAATTTGCCTAAGCGACAGCATTTTGATAAACATTACCGATCTATTTGTCCAGCATATATCAAAGATGAAAATTTAAAAAAGGGTCCTATTTAACTGATCATAATTTAATACTACTTCCGACCATAATTAATACTTTTTTCCCAAATACTTTCTTTCATCATAATGGAATCTAATTTTACCATAACTAGAATACTGAGTTATTCATAATAAATCCTCCGTCTACCATAACCAAGTTATTGGCGAATACTCTTCAGTTTTTTATGCCAGAGCGAGGATTATACAAATATTGAGTAAAAATATATCTTTGTTAAACATGTAGGGTCAGTGCGGGTTAGTCTGGCCATTTTTTTCCTAATCAGCGTTCTTCAGTGAAACAAAAAATGGTTCCGAGTCAAAAATACTTATTTTGAACATCATGCATTATAAACTAACTATTTCGCTTTAGTTTATGATCAAAAAAAGTTTTAAAATATAATTGGAAGTAATATTTATCAATTATTTAAAATAAATAAAACACGTGTGCACATTAACCCACCAAATGGGGTAAGTGGGGCCAGTGGAGGGGTTAGTGTGGACACGCATATGTTTTAATGCAAATATATTTGCATATTAAAATGCTTTTCGAATTTAAAAATTTTCGAATTCATGCCAGATCGATTATTATACAGATATTGTGTAAAATATATTTTTCAAAGATAGAATTTGAAAATATTCGAATATAAAGGAAAATTTACGGACAAGATATCTGCGAATAATTAGCCCTGCAAATTAGGCAGGATTAGAATCCAATTACTAAAATCATTCACACATATCCACTGTGGGAAGCAAGCGATAGAAAAAGTGTTACTTAAAATGCTGCAACGTATAAGGAATGATTGCCGCTACATATGTTTTTCGAAAAAGCATTTACAATCTTCCAACGCTGGTCTCAATTACTCAATTATCGATCAAATTAAAGGTTTCGCAGCCTCCACCAGACGCTAAATGTATACCCATTGAAGAGAAATGCAAGCGTGGTAGACCAGAAAAACCTTCCAAGAAATTTGTAATTGACTAAGAATAGAAAAGTTTGTAAAGTTTTTTAAAGTTTCATATTTTAAAGCGATTTTAAAGTGTATTTTTACTTATGGTAAAATCGAGTAATTATTATACACAAGGAAGCACTTTATTATGGTGAGAGATAGTATTCGGGGAAAAAGTATTAATTATGGTCAAAAGTAGTATTAAATTATGATCGGTTAAATATTATCCATTTAAAAAATGCAACATTATCGATAGTACCAATCCTCAAAATTCTTAAAAATCTCGTGT